TCTGATTAATTTACTGTTTGAAACATACCGAACCTGCATACCTGCATACTGAGAGCATTTTCTTCTACACAGACACACACGGTCATATGTTGTGTTACAAATCAGTTTAAAGCTGTTTAAATGGAACATGAACAATAGAAGTCTGCACGAACAGGGAAGCGTGGCTCCAATTTTGTCGTCCTACTGGGGTATTTCTATGAGTGTGTGGTGGTGTAGTAGAGTGCAAATATTTTTCGATGATTGGTGTGCTACAGTAGTGTTTCTGAAACATGGTTTTCGGGGTCCCTCCATCTGGTGACGGTTCTGTATTCACGCTCAGCATATGAATAACCTGTAGATTAGATATCCTGTTTATATAGATCACATTAAAGTAATGCCTTGAAAATATAATTATACCAAATCCAGCATTTATCGGAGGGACTTGGGACATGTTGTTTTGAATGGTAGCAGTATTGTACACTGTATATGTGGCCTGCAGGTGAGCTTTTGGGTGTGACCTGGAATGACACAGCTAGTTAAATAAAGGGTACTACATGGCCATGCTTGAATGGACAGATATGGCATCACTGCTTTAATTTGTGCCGACATGGGAATAAGCTTTATGCAGAAAATTATTCAAGAAAAACATCATTTTCACAAAAGGAAAAGTGTGACATTTTTGGAAATATTGCTAATAACTAATTAGTGTAATACAACCAGAGCCCCGTCACTTCCTATCACTGCCTCTGTTATACTTACATTGGAGAGTGAAAAGCAGCAAAGCGTTCAATGAATGGGACAGAACAGAGCTAAACATTAGCAGAACTTATTTGGACCTGCGCCGGATCATTTCAATTTTCGGAAAATTACTGTCAGTCATTTTGATTTTCTTACAGTGGAACAGATTTTGCTCGTTGCAAGCTAGAGCCACACGGGATTTATGACAGGACATCCTCCCTCGGAGGCGTGTTTCCAAAGCTGTGACTCGGACTGACATTAGCACTGTAGTCAGACTAAAACAGAAACTCGCCTGAGTGTAAAAAGCAGTCGGTTATTGTGGTAAGTGGTGACTGTTGTCAGGTGATTGCTGGTAGAAATCGCACGGTGCTTATTTGATGTCTAGAAACCAGACTTGTCACTAGGTGACCCTCTGGAAAGTAAAAACTGAACTATATCTATGGTGTCAGACACTTTTTTCAAAAACATGGTCAAAATTTGAAATGCTTTTTGGCCACATGAATGTTACAGCTACCACAGGACCAAAGTTGATTCTGGGCTATCTTGCAAGTGCCCCGTAGTTCAGGAAGTTCTGTTTCCTGTGAAGCCACGCTGCCAACAGGTAGCTAATTTAAATCAAAGACTGGAAACACAGGGAGCAGTTTTCCTGGCCAAGACTCGCTTGTGTAACATGTACAACAATATGTTCTGATTGCATGCTGGACTAATTTTTGGCTGGAGCTACTTTCCAAGCAACCTGCAAGCTCGCCCAAACAGAGCACATACTTGCAGTTTGGGATTTGTGCTAAATAAAGGAGACATAAATGAGCCTCGGAGAAGCTCATAGATGGATATTGTCACCTCTAATGGAGTCAGCCTATCTTAGCTGAACCCTCTTTACCTCCAGTCTTAAAACTGGGGCAGGCAACATGATTTTGACACCAGTGAGCAATAATCCAAGAAAACTATGATTGGATTCCTGCATCTCTCATGGCTTTGTTTTGAAGGTTTAAAAACTCTAACCTGTGGTAGGGAGACTTTGTCCAATCACAGGTATTTTCAGGCCAGATTAACTGTGCAGTATAGAGAATTTTAAGTCCATCTGGAAAGTGTTGGCATAGTAGATTAAGCAGAACCCTTCAAAGTACGTGCATATGCTAGTGCTCATCAGATGAAAGGCTCTTAGATTACAGAGGGCAGATGAGGAGTTTTTTCCTTCTAGATTTCTGCCTGTTACGCTCTTATTCTAATGAATAATCTAAAAGATAAATTTGGCAACTGCAGCTTCACATTTCCTGTCAGTCATCTCAGCAATCTCTTGGCAAGGCAGTGAACAAGCATATTTCCTAACATGTCAGTCTTTTTTTTTTTCTTTCTCCTTAAAGCATAAAAAACAGACAGTGCAACAGCCAAGCGAGCAGCTGTTTGTAACAGGTGGCACATATGCAACACTTTTCTTCAGTTGTAATAAACATATCAAGCGTTAACTGCCCCTTCAAGCGCGGCCATGTAGCCTCACAGGTGATTGCAGTCGAGGAGCGGACGGAGCGGTTCATGTGCCAATTTGAATCCTATTTTTGAGACATATTTATTCCTCAGCCGTTGTAAAATTACATTTTTCCTATTGAGTCTTACTTATGTACAATTGATTGATTCTTCTTGTTTGTTTGCAAGAAAGCCATCTCACATATCGCAGATTACTCATCGTCTCCCTTTTATTTTCTTAACACTCCTACAGCCGAGTTTTTCTGTTGTCTGGCTGAGTTTTGAAGAGTCTGTGCAATTTTGTACAAAGTGATGTACTTGACATACTACTTTATATTTCTGTGAATAAAATGTGAACAAACTTTTGCACGCTTTCTCCAGTTATTCCCGCTGAGACGTCACAGGTCAAAAGTTCAGGCAGGTAACAGACTTGAGAGTTTCAACAAACATATTCTCATAAAGTGCCGAAAGTAGCACAGAGACAAAAAGAGACCTACTTATGAGTCTGTGTTAACAGAGGTATGAAAACTCATATGTACCGTGGGTTTGCTCGCTGTTTGTGTGTTTATATTTAACGCAACCACCCACCTTTATTCTATAATTAAGCTCTACGGCTGACATAAAATGACCTGCCATACTTTCATGCTCCCCACGTAGACTCATCAGGGTGGCCAGTGATCTCAATTTAAAAAGCCACAGTTTACAAATGTTTGACTTATGCTAGACAACAAGTTAAAGACATGAGTCAATATTTGTAGTGCTTTTATGTCTTTAATATGTTACAGCTTGCATGCATTCATACTCACACAAAGAGCCTCTGGGAGCCTGTCAGGCCTCCAGCTGTAACCTAGTGATCATTTCGTTGTGCTCAGATGCCCTCTACAGGTCAGCTCTTGTAACATTGGGGGGGACAAACACGGGTGCTCTGTGCACATAGTATTTAAGTAGTAATTATTTTCCTGCAAACACCAATGCAGTATCATATAATGCATTTTTTATTATTAATTTCTATTCATGAGGACATGATACAGTTATCTCACAAAGAAAAAGAAATCTGGATTCAGGCACCGCAGCAATTTCCTAATGTTGTAAACCTGCTCAACATTTGGCAATAAACCCCTTTCTGATTCTGATTCTGAAACTAAAACGTAATCGCTTCTAAGCTGGGCTGAATCCTCGGCTCAGGTAATTATTAGGTAACTGCAGCGCTTTCAACTCACAGCGAGAATACAAGAAGGGTTTGAGTTCTTTGGCCGGGGACTTTATCTCTGTACCTTTATAGGTTCTCTCCCTTTACACATGCATGTTAGAGTAACGTGTAATTCTAAATTGGTCATAGGTGTGAATGTGAATATGAGTGCTTGTCTCTCTGTGTTAGCCCTCCGTGTTGTTGTCCTCTGCTTCTGGCAGCTGGAACAGACTCTGCCCTGATGCTGAATCAGTTAGGAAGAAAAGGGATGCACTGCACAGTTTTGTATTTTTCGTACTGGAGCTTTCCTCACACATAATAATCGACTTTAAATTTAAATTTTACAATACATAAACATATTTACACTGAAATACATGGAAGGAGGTGCAAGTATGTAATGCAACTAATACCAGCTTAATCTTATATGGAAACTTGTTTTTGCCACTGAAAAGTCAAAATAAGTAACAAGATTGTAATTTTAAATTTTGACTTATGTATGGCAAAAAATATATATTTGGTACCAAATCTTTTTTCCCCCCAGTGGGACAAAAAAAAAAAAAATCCATAATCTTCAAATTTTACTAAAGTGATTTTTCCACATTACAGAGCTGGAGTATAAGGAAGGCCAAAAGAATTGTGCATTATACAGGAAGGACAAGTTGAATGATCTTCGTCCTTTTGCAGAAGTTTGATAGACAGAAATCAACCTGAACCACCAAAAGCTGTCTGACTTCAGCCTGCTACTACAGAAAATAGTATAGGTGCTAGAAAGACTAACCCAAGTCTATGCCAGGTACATGGTTTGCAACATGTTTCTACACCTATTTCATAGATGCACAGAAAAGAAAAAGGGTCCAAAGAAGTCAAAGCTCCAGCAACATTTGCAGTATAAAGAACAGCTTTGTGATTTTTACCAGCCTGCTGCCTTCATCAGGGTAATCTTAATACTACAGGTGTTGTTGGAGCTTTGACCTCTTAAGACATAAAAACATGAAATGAGGTAATGAGGACATCACCCATACACTGAGTGTATCAGGGGTGTCAAATGCAGGGCCCTGGTAACACGAACCGTTACACTACAGGACAGCAGCGACATCTTTAACTTGTTCATAAAATCCACAAACATCACTGTACATGAGTGAAAATGGGTCAAAGTTATTGTTGCTTTTGTTAGTTACAACAGCTACATGTGAAGGTTTTGTGCTTTTGCAGGTCCACTGTGGTGTTTAATGCGGGTTTCGCTCCAATCATCCGACTGTGGATCAAAATGGGCTGCCGGTGACTACAATGACTTTGACACCCCTGACTTACATTCAAGTCCCCAACCTGTGGGGTGGTTTACAGTTTCCACTGCCTTCGATCCATCGCCCTTCTACACGTGGAGAAACTGAAACATTCAGTTGTTGTCGTACAGCATCCCTGCCTGTCTCAACCAGGTTTTGCTTTCTGTAATCATTCCTCATGTTTACACTGGTCATTAAGGACGTGTTCACACCATGTGTGCATAGTGCTCACAATGAACCAATACATACAAAAAAAAGGGACATTCAGACAAATGCACAACCTGATTTTCCACTTAGCGTAAGCACAGGTTGTTGGATTTAAGCGATCCTCTTCTTAAATGAACTTTCAAAACCCAGTCTCTTTGTTTCCCTGAAAAGCAGTTCCACCCTGAGCTCAGGCAGATATAGAAATAGTGAGCTGCCAACAAAAGAGCCTGTCTTTCAAGAGGACATCCTCTTTGAAATGGGGACAGCTGAAGGCTCATTTTAGCTTCAGTTTTTTGACTGGAAGGGGAAAACTGGGGCTTTTGTCCAACATCGCTTACAATAAAAACACATCATGCGTGATTTAAAGGTCAATTCTATGTCCTGTGAACTATTAAAATGAAGCCTGGCCTCTTTTTTTGTCATCACTAAGCATGAACAGGAGGAATGACTGTAAAAAGCAAGAACTCTTTTGGTTTTTTTCAATCGAAGACTTGAGAAATGAACCCATGTTTTTAAACAATCAGTATACAGTACAGACACGGAGCCTAACAAGTTGCTGCTTGAAACAGCTTAAATAATCCGAGTGAGACGGTTTGTTTACTCCTGAAAACAACTGAACCTCTTCAGCTGTCAGCAACTGTGCAAACACTTCCCGTCTCCACCTCCTCACCCTGAGAGTCATAAAGTGCAGCCCCAGAAGCGCCTCCGGCTGCCGCTTCTATTTCAAGGCCCGTTGACATTGATAATAATTAGCCCTGCCATGGCCAGCAGCATTACCACAGCCACCTCCATCATTTTCTTCTGCCTCCACCTGCTATGATGCTTCTTCAGCTCCTCCTCCATCCGCTGCTTCCTGGCTCTCTGGTCCTTCTCTCTCTGCAGCTGCTCCCCGTAGTGAGCCTGATAAAAGGCATCAAAATCAAATATGGGCCTCCCTCCAGGTTGGGAGAACTGTCTGGCTCTCTGCTGAGGTTTTTGTTGGGAGCCCGTGGATCTGCTGGAAGCCTCCTTGCTGGAGGGTCTGCCTGCATTTTGGATGTCTGCCCGGCTCAGGATGCCGCGGTCGTACTTCCTCCTCAGGCTGATGTTTCCCAGCACGGTGTAAGCCTCGCTGATATCAGAGAAGCGCTGGGTGGCCTCCTTGCTCCCGGGGTTCTTGTCAGGGTGGTAGATGAAGGATTGCTTGTAGTAAGCCGTCTTGATCTGAGACTGCGTGGCACTGAGAGACACTTTGAGGATGTCATAATAGGCAGTCCTGCTCCTGTGCAGCAGAGGAGCGTCTTCTGACCTCCAGCTGTAGCTTCTAGCTGCTGTGAAACTTGACTTCAGGGCGTCATGGAGCAGATTCAGACATCTCAGTCCGTGTCCACTTCCCAGCCTGTCTGATCCAGGATCTGCCAAGATGAAGGTAAGCGTGCAGAGAGCTCGGCGCTGTTGGGGGGACCTGAAGGCGTCAGGGTGGATGGAGACAGCTGCTGTCGTCCACAGTCTCATCCTGCAAAGCAGCAGCTTCTTCTGGAGGAAAAGAGCAGCTTTATGAGCTCGCAGGCTCCCCGTGTTTTCTAAAAATTCGGTGAAACCGGAGGCAGCCGCACTCTCCAACACCTGACTCCCGCTTTCCTTCACTGTGGAAACTTTCTCTGACCTGAGAAGTGTTTCTGTGCTTTCTGAAGCTGACTGGACTGATTTCTCTGTAACCCGACCGGAAACGAAGGCATGGTTTGTTATAAGACACCCGGGACTTCCTCCGGGGCACACGGCTCGACTCTGGCTGGTTTTGAGAGCAGACAGCCGGTAAACTCCGTTCCCCAGCCTTTGACCGACCTCTGCCATTTTACCGAGCAGGGGCCGGAAAACAGCTGCAGCATCCGGCGCGTGAGAGAAAGAGGACCCAATCAGAGTCAATGTTTACAGGAAGTAGTCAAACACAACCGACCAATCATTTAGCAGAGCACCAGTAACATAAAGATCATCATTAACACTTTATTTCTCGTGTAAAATTAAAGGAAATTAGGACAATTGATTATCTTTATCTTCTACAATGTAAAAAAATTTGAGAGAGATTTAATTTAAGTCCTTTTCTTTTAATGAAATGACAATTTCTCATTCTTAAAACATTATTTTTCTTTTCTTTTGTAATGTAAAAGACAGAGTAGCTACCCATGCAACAGCGTCACAACCTTTGATAAGATAATTCCAACTTTGTTACTGTGTGATTAATTAAACGTGAATTTTATAGAGGAAAGGGTTTCTATCTCTCTGGATGCAAAGTAAGACGGATAAGAGGATTTCATGAATGAATTAGTTTCTGCATAAAGTTCCTGTTTTTGTTGGAGTCAAGAGGAATGAGAACCTGGATAAAGGTGCAAAAAAATAGACAATAAATCATATCACAAAGATGCAGCACGATGAAAAGATATATTAAAAATAAACAGTAAGTTGGTGATGATATGGAGGGCCAAAAATGATTATAATTAGTGATTATAATAATGTAATAAATATAGTATTAAAAATATGGCAATAAATCTGATTTAAATCTGATTTTTTTCATTACAGTTAATCTACAAATATTATTATTTGAGATTTATCTCAAAATGTTGCCCTCTCAAAATCAACAGCAATAATAAAAGAATGTGCTAGATTAAAGTCGAAAGATCCAAGATCCAGATTTTAAGTTGAAGTAGTAAGTATTGCAAATTTGCTACGAAAAATAATGTATAAGTATTGGGACCACATTCAGAATAAAGTATTAGTCGTTTTTTTTTCTAACAATCTATTCTCAATTAATTAAAAAAAATGAACTTCCAGTTCGACTTCAATCTTTTTTTTACTAGCATTTCTAATTTTGAGAATTAAGTCAAAATTTGAGATAATAGTACTATGTTAGGATCAAAGTAAAAATGTATATTGATAATAAAAAATGATCTTTTCATATGTTTTCATTTATTTTATTTATTTATTTATTTTAGAAAGCTTAGGGTGGTCGGCACGGCAGGTCAGAGGGTGGCAGTAAAGCGCTCCAACGTTCCAAACGGTGCAAAAGAAGAAGAGGCGTGCCGTCGCTTGTGAATGACGTCAACATAATTCACGTGTGAGTCTTTTGCTACCAGGCAGCTTGTTTATTAAGTAAAAATACTCCCGTAACATAACGATTGACAAGTAGACGCGAGCATGGCGTCCAGCTGTCGACGACCCGAACACTCAGCTCCTCCAGATGTGGTCAGTCGGACGGTTTATTCTTTTTTTTTAGCTTTTGTTTTCTGCCGGTGCTTCTTCTACAGGAGCATTTTAAATCTATAAATGGCTCTTTAAAGGCCTCCAGCTGAAGCAGGTTTAAAGACATGGTTTAAATGGTTGTTTAGTGAACATGAGTCGGTAGTTTGTTTTTTTCAAAGGATGTGATTTGGTGAGCTGTGTGTTGGTCTGGTTTAAATGATGCTTGAAGCACCAGAGAAGCAGCTGCAGGGTTGTAGGAGTAAACTGAGGTGTTACTGATCTGTCAATCTGATGTGCTCTAATCTCTGCAGTTCTACAATGAAGAGGAGGCCAAGAAGTACTCCCAAAAGTGAGTGTGGATGTAACGATACTATGTTTGTGACTACGTTACATGTTTATATGTAACACACAGCTCTTTTTTTTATCCAGTGTCTCAGTGTTTCTGTCCTTTGACATAATTAAACTGTGCGCTTCATTTAATTTTTTTGTTAGGGTTGCATTTCTAACATAAAGAATCTAATCTCAGTAGTTTTATTCCAACCCCTTTACTGTCCGCTGCACTTTATATATACATTCTGTATATGATTGAGACACTTCATTTAAACCATTTTTATTCTGCCTTCATGGCTTCTTGACTGATGGGTTTTTTTATGTTTAACTGGAAAGCGCTTGGTTTTAGGACTAAATGAGCAATCCGTTAATCTGTATCAAACCAGGTACAGTGGGTTGTTAATGAGAACTCATTAGTTGCACCTCTGGGTGAATGCTCATTACTGCACAGTTGTTCAGTGTATAAATTAATTTGAAGACCTCAGGAAAGGATACATTTTCTTGACTAAATTTAAAGATGCCCCGTGTTTAGCCTCTTTCATCCCACCTTGGCTAACTTACTTTGATGTGGGACACTGACCAAAGATTCAAACACCTAAAACTCCTTTGGGTCAAACATATAACAACTTAAAGAGTCTTTGTTTGTGGCTGTCATGTATGAACCACCCTTCCTCATTCAAAAAAGGGGTATAGCTGTGTCATTACCCCCCTTTTCCCCTGATTCAGACGGATTTACAGTAAAACAGAATAGAGAACAGTTTTATGCCTGTCCGTTAGCAGCAAGTTGCCTGATTTTGTGTTCATAAGCGAGAAAATTAAGTTAGCATCTGCCAAAAAATGTTTTAATAATATAAAAGATCTGAAATCTTGTTGTGTTTTGTTGCTTCTTAGCTCTCGAATGATTGAGATCCAGACCCAGATGTCAGAGAGAGCTGTGGAGCTTTTGAGCCTGCCAGAGGGACAGCCCTGCTTCTTGTTGGATGTTGGGTGAGTGAGTGGCTGAATTTACTTATAGCAAGTGCATTAAGTTAGAGATGTAACATGGTAGTACATATTTACTCTTAACAATAACATGAAAGGCTCATCAGTAATCTAAGCAGTGCTTTGACAGGTAGACGCATATTGGCAGTACTGTTGCATGAATGAATGCACGTTTAGAACTAGCTCCAATCAAACTTATTGAATTCTTTATTAGTAATAAAAAAAAAGAAAATAAAAAAGAAGTAAAGCATTTAAGAAGATCCCTGAAAAACTGAGTTTTGAGAAAGGGGCATTTTCCAGTAGTTTCTGGGATATTATCTTTATCCTCCAAGAAGCCTCTTGCTCAGGGGATGGCGCAGTGCTTTTAGTCTAAAAACTTGGGAGGTGGGGGATGCAAACATTTATGATTGGCTGTGGAGGGTTTTGTACCTCCCGGATTTATTTGAAGCACCATTTTTTTTCGTGGTACTTAAAGGTTGAAATGTGGCAAAAGTCAGAATGTCTGCTGGTGTTGTAGAAAAGTCATTGTTATGAGTTTTAGTTTGAACATAACTCATTGTTATGTGACACAGTAATCTGATGTATTTGTGATGAGAAACAATCTGGTCTGTGCCTCTCAGGTGTGGCTCCGGTCTCAGCGGAGATTACCTGTCAGAAGAGGGACACTACTGGGTCGGAGTCGACATCAGCACCGCGATGTTGGGTTCGTTTGACACTCAAACTTTATATCACTCATGATATACGGAATATATCATTAAAAATTTGTACATGTGCAGCTAAATACTGACATAATCTAACACCCCTGAAGGGAATGAACAGTCAGCCTCCTGTTTTATTGATGTCCGTGTGTTAAAACGTAATGTTTTTCCCAACATATAGTGCCAAAGCTTGACTATATTCCAAAAATATTCCTAAAGTCTGGCTTCAGACTGGAACTAGATGAGTTAAAGGAAGACATTGTTAGCTTCAGGACATCCAATACATTCACACACTTATAGGTAGTCATAAAACTAGAGTATAAAATGCTCAGTGTGCAAAATCATATATCCCGCCACAATACACCACGAGCAGTCTAAACTGTAAATACAAGGCAGGAGGGATCCACGCTTTAATGTCATTTAGGTCAAATTCTGACCGTGCCATCCAAGTGCTGCAGCAGAAATTGAGACTCATCATCACCAGGCAATGTTTCTTAAATCCAGTTGTGGTGAGCTTATGTACATTTTAGCCTCAGTTTTCTGTTCTTAGCAGACAGGTATGGCACCAGGTGTGGTGGTCTGCTGGTGTAGCCCATCTGCTACAGCTCAGACCTTTGTGCGTTTCAAAATACTCTTGATTTACTGTTGCTTTTCTATCAAGTCCAAGCAGTCAAGCCATTCTCCTCTGTCCTCAACAGGATGTTTTAACTCTGAACTGCTCCTTATTGGATATTTTATTTTTCCGACCTTTCTTCGCAAACATTAGAGGTGGTTGTTCGGGGAAAATCCCAGCAGTTTCCGAATACTCACACCAGCCCTGATAACATCAACAAAAATGCTTAATTCAAGTTACGTAAATCACCTTTCGTCCCAATTCTAATGCTTAGTGAACTTCAGCTGATCTTCTTGACCAGGTCTACATGCCTAAATACATCGAGTTGCTGCCATGTGATTGGCTAATGAAATTTAAGCCTAAAATGTATTTTAAGCATGATAACAGATCCAATATGCGGTTACAGTTGGTTGTTTTTTGTGCATTTATGTCACCACAAGAAATACATAAACTCTAAACAAATGTAATTCTCTTCTGTGTGACAGATGTTGCACTGGACAGAGAGGTGGAAGGAGACCTCGTACTGGGAGACATGGGCCACGGGATGCCGTTCAGACCTGGTACCTTTGATGGTTGCGTCAGGTAAAGAACAAAGGATGCTTATAAGTCAGGCTCTTCCTGGGAATTTTGAATGATTTATGACCCCTTTAAAAAACTCTTTTCCTGTTTCAGTATCTCTGCCCTGCAGTGGCTTTGTAATGCAGACAAAAGGACGCACAGTCCTCCAAAGAGACTCTACACCTTCTTTAGCACTCTGTACTCATGTCTGGTAAGATTTTATCACTCAAATATCCAGGAAGTTTATTTTTGATGAAAACATTTTATAACCTCTTTTTGCTCTTTCAGTCAAGAGGCTCACGTGCAGTCTTTCAGCTTTATCCTGAGAACTCAGAACAGGTAAAAGGGGGAAAAAACCCTCTTTGTGTTTCCATGAAGGCTCTGTGTCAGCAGAGGAACAGCCTGAAGGTTTCTCTTCACTCACTTACCACCTTCCTCTTTTCTCTCCAAAGCTCGAGCTGATAACAACACAGGCCATGAAGGCAGGTTTCAGTGGAGGCATGGTGGTGGATTACCCCAACAGTGCAAAAGCAAAAAAGTCAGTATTTACTGGAAGTGGCTTCTTTTTATTTTGACGTCTGCAACTGATTCCTTCCTAATAGGCTGTGAAATTGGTAGCAGGGTGCTCACAACACAGGGCTAATTAGAACAGGGGGGACTTGGCTGCATGATGTATGATTACATATTGGAGCTGTTTGGCTGGTTTACATTTTCTTACACACACGCTTCCTGTTTATCTCCAGGTTCTTCCTGTGTCTGTTTGCCGGCGTAGCAGGAGTTCTTCCCAAAGTAAGAAAAGCTGTGGATGTTGTGGGTTGCTGCCTTTTGTTTGAGCCAGATGATGATCATGTTAATGTCTTTTTCCTGTATTTCAGGGACTGGGATCAGAAACGTCAGACAAAGCTGTTCCAAACCAGGTTCAGTATTCAGGACAAAGGTAAAGACGTCCACTGCAGGCGATGCTGCCAACCCTGAGCAATTAGACTGTTTCATAAAGCTGTTTGCATGGGTTGACATAACAGCTGTTAATTCAGTTTATTTCAATCTCTGGTGTTTTTACAGCTTTTTGTGTGTTTGTGTTTCATGTAGACATATGCAATGTGTTTCAGCCCGAGGCCACTTGAGTGTTTTCTAATGTGTTTTTCTGCTGATTGTTCATTGTTGACTGCCGAAGGAAAGAATGTATGGGATTTTAACAACCTTACATTTTTTTTTTATTTCCCGTCTGTGTGGTAGTAGCTTTCAAAGGATTTGCTACATCTCTTTTTTTTCTGCAGCAAACAATATGATCAGTAAAGATGAATGATGTCGGGGACTGTTTGCTACAGCTGTAATTTATTCTCATCAGGATAATTGGTGATTTGCTTATGATTTGTGATAACGCAGCCGTATAAATCATCCCATTTATTACTTTGCAATAGGATAGTGAGCTGGTCTCAGCTTTGATGAGTGCAGGTTCAGTCTTACCTGCCTTTATGAAGCCAAAAGACCAAAAGAAATGACAGAAAGGGTCGTTGTCCTGCTTGACTTAAAACCCTGTCAGGCAGGTTTTCCTCCCTTTTACAGAGTAAGACTCAAGTGACTGGATATGTGAGATGTTTTGCATCTAATGCTAAGTATTAATATTTATTTGTCGCTGTAAAGATGTCGTTTCAGAAACATGAAGGGAAAATCGCTGAAGAAGGGACGAGACTGGATCCTGGAAAAGAAGGAGAGGAGGAGGAGACAGGGACGGTGTGTGCATGAGTGTATTTTCAACTCTGAATGTCGTAATGTACTTAGTTTAGCTTTAACTGGATTTTACCTTTTATTGCCTGTATTTTATAATGCACCTTAACTGGCTTCTCTGTCTCTGCTGTGTGTTTGTTAACCTGCAGGGAGGTTCGAGCCGACACTAAATACACTGGACGTAAGCGAAGACCTCATTTCTAGCTCTGACTCATGCAGCTGCGCCTTCATTAGCCCTCCTCTGTCACACACACACACACACGGAACCACCTCTGGAACTGCAGAGTGTTTGGACTCTGATTTATTTTTCAGCCCTTTAATTCAAGTGGATGTGATGCAAGAGCAAAATGCAATTACAGCCAGTCGTTTTTATATTTGGTCGAGTGTTCCTCGCTAAAAGCGGTGAGATTGCACTCACAATGTTCAGTTTGGCTGGAAGTACATGAACAAATGTGTGTGTACTCACAGCTGGTGGCAAAAACCACAGTGAAGAAAAAGCAAAACAGTATAAATAAATCAAAGCAATTTTATAAGTGGCCATATCTTTGTGGTTTATTGTATTATCTGCAATGTTTTCTCAATTAAAACTAAATAAAAAATGTATTGAGGTTGTTTAATTATTTATTTTTAGCTCATAAAAGAAATTAAAGAAAGAGCCACAAAATGAATTTGCCTTTATTAGGGAGCTATGATTATAAAAATGACTTAATAATGAAAAAAATGGTAGTTAATCAGGTTAAAAAGAAATAAACTTCAGGAGCTGCGTTTACAAGGGAGAAACTGAACTAGCCTCATTTGTAATGGAGGAAAATTATTGTTTCTTGCAGCTAAGGAAAAATTAATTTTTGTGCACAAGTTTTAAGTCACCCCTCATTGTTGCATATTTCGCTTCCAAGGAGCCAGACTTTCTTGAGGTTTTGAAGTGGTCTTCTGTTCTCCAGACTTTCTGTTGGTCTTTTGGGGTTTTTTTGGACACTTGGCATTTCTTTGCTTTTGTTTAGCTTTTTGAGTCCAGCCCTTTTTATCTGACCACTTTCAGAGGAATGTTTTTTTTTTTTTTTTTTTTTTTAAATGCTGACCTATGAATCATTCAAGCATAGGAAGGCATCTAATTCAAGAGATGACCCAGTGTTTTGTCTGTACATAACAGACAAGTTGGCAAAGAACCAATTTTATATTTGTTACTAGCAACCCATTGCTAAAAAAAACCCCAAACTTAAAATGTGTTCCCATTTCTTTAGCTGAATCTATGAAGAACATCAAAGATAACAGTTTGAGAGGTAAGAAGATTCCCCGTAAAAAGATCTACGCATAAAAAAACAAACAAAAAAAAAAACTATCTGCAGCACCACCTGACAGTCATGTCCTTATGAAAAATGGGCTAGGATCTAACACAGGAGCTACTGTTTGCTGAAGCTTCATCAGAAGCTCAGTGGAAAGGTGGCTGTCGAGAAGTTGTTCTTAGGTAAAGGAAATGGGGAGAAAAGGGTGTGGTATGCCAAACTACACAAGGACAGTCATAAATATGTACGGAGGAGGTCAGGAGAGATGCACAACAGTGAATGTCTACAGCAGTCTGTAAAATGTGGTGTTGGCAATTTTGTCAAAATTGATGAAATTATGAACGCAGAAATGTACTGTGAGATTTTGCTGCAGCGCGCAATATCATATGGAAAGCCTCTGCTGGGCACAAATGGAACACTTATCGGTCATGGATTGGCCTCCCCAGAGCCCGGACCTCAATTTTACTGAAGCAGTGTGGGAACAACTTGTGGGGATAGGTTAATTGGATAATTCAAATTGCCACTAGGTGTGAATGTGCGAGTGAATGTGAATGGTTGTCTGTCCCTATGTGTTAGCCCTGCGACAGACTGGCGACCTGTCCAGGGTGTACCCCGCCTCTCGCCCTATGACAGCTAGGATAGGCTCCAGCGCCCCCCGCGACCCTGAAAAGGATAAGCGGTAGCGAATGGATGGACAGTGTGGGGACAACTTGACCGAGAACAAAACAAAAAGGCAGCCAGCATCCAATAGAAGAGCTTTGAATGTGATTTGAGAAGCTTGGAGAACTATTCCTGAACACTCCTTAAAGAAATAACAAGAAAGCTGCCGACGAGAGTTCAGGCTGTGTTGAAGAATAACCGTCGTCGTACTAACTACTGACTTTGAAGTTTGTTAAAATTGTACAAGCTCTGTTTTTGCTTTATATACAGTATGTCACATTTCAATAAATTGCTGCACCATGTTGGCACCATTTTTAGTGGTGTATGGTACTGCAGGGATTCTGTGCCTGGAAAGGACCAGTGACACAGACTCCAGCCCACCCAAGAGTTGAATAAATGCTTAAGAAAAAACAGCTGGAAGATTGTGATAATGTCAAAATTTCTACTAATACAGAGTTATTTTTAATGCTTCTTTGGACCTTGTCTTTATTTTAATTTGCTCAGGAAACAACAAATATTGACTAAAGGGGGGGAAAAAACAGGATTGTTGTAGTGAGATTGAGTTTATCAAGCATCTAAACACACAGAAATAAATTCTTTGAATTATATTTTCTCAAATGGAGCTTTAAATACAAAAATATGTTATTGAAGGCAATATTTCTGGGTCATTTCGAGCTCCTTGTACTGTTGCCATATCCGTCTGTTTCAACAGGGGTCGCTGTTCGCTTTGGCACAATGCAAAGTACCTGGGCGTTATCTCCGAACCTGCTCACCAGAGTCAACACAATTTCCCCCCTCAGGCAGGCTCCCAGTGCTTTTGGTTTTTGTGTCAAACTAACCTTCATGCAGTCGGACTAAATATGCAGCCAAAATAATAAAAGAGCTCCGAAAAGAATAAAGAAGAAAATAAATAAAATAAAGTCAATTAGTCCGGATTGAGGAAGTTGTGGGTGAGTAATGGGTTAACGGCGGAAGGCCTCGCTTCACCTTTATTGCGCGTCACCCAGCTCTGTAAAGTGGTCTCACCATCCCAGCATCCGAACCGAAGGGGGAAAATCACCGCCCCTTGCTGCCGCCAGACGCGCCTCTTCCTCTCGGTCGAGCTCACGTCTACCCGTCGGTCTCCGCCCCGCCGCTCCATCACCGTCATATACACCCAGAAGACAACGGGAACTGAGGGAATAACGACAATTTACCGGCGAAACGGGGAATCATGAAGGACCGCATGCAAGAACTTAAACATGTAAGTTTGTGTTTGTGTGCTTTCTGCTCAGCATCCACCTGTTAATGCGAACAGACGGGCTTTTTTTATGGAGCGATGTGTGCTCAGAAAGCTCCTGGCCACAGAGCGAGGTGCGCGGAGTGAGCAACAGTTGTGACTCTCGGGTCCTGATGGAAGCTCAAATGTAACGTTTTATTGTAGGAAACGAGCGCGTATTGCTGCCATGGTTTGCTGTGCGTAAATCGGGATGAAGCGCAGCAGACAGGAATGGTTTTAGATGTTAAAAACAAAGTAAAAGTCATTTTCTCAATGGCCCCTTTGATCTTTTTGTCAGTGTTGTGAAATGAGTTTAAAGGCTCTTTGGTGCTAAAGAAAGGGTCATCGGCTAAGACTTTGTACTTAACAGCATCAAATCTTTCTGGTGTCGCTGATTAATCCACTGCTGGTTTCCTTTTAGGATTTTTTTTGGAAATATGCCACCAGTGATATTAATTAATTTGTGCAGTGTGGTTTGATCGATCTGACCAACTATGGGTGTGTGACTCGAGTGGGGAAATTGGTCCCAGCTCGCCCATTCCACCTGTGAAATGTCCGCCCTCTGCGCGTCACAGGGGTCTTATCCAAGAACCTTTAAACACCAACAACAAGGAACGCAACGTTTTGTCTTTCAAACCCCTGCAATGTGCTTTATTAGGGATGTAGTCTTGTGGAAATGAACTCCGACACCATTTATTCTTACCACTGATGAGAAATAAAGCCTTGAAATCTTGAATTGCACCCTTTGACTTTCTGCCAGCTGTTTTTTTTTCTTTTTTCTTTTTTAACAATTAAAAATTGTTTAAAAAAAGCTAACGTGGTAACAAGAAGACGTGTGATTTGATGGCTAACAGGTTTTTGGCTTGACTGATACAGAAGTACAGCCACTGAGTAGCATCCTCCACAGGAATGTTAGTTTAAAGCTTCATATAGGCTACTTTCTGTGTGTGTGGTGGTAAAGTGGCCATTGTCAGATCTGGGTAATTGGCAGTTAAGCTGAGGAGAGGGGAAACAATTTGCAGCTCTTCAGTTTTCAGTGAAGATCTAGCTATGAATTGGTCACAAGGGAGACAACCCAGCATTGCCAAGTGTGTGTGTGTGTGTGTGAGAGAGAGAGAGAGGCGTGCCTTCAGCCTGCCATGCTATGTCTTTGGAGTGCTGGAAAGATGCAGTTGTATCATTGAGAAAGAGAAAGATGGAGAAATAGTCCAAATTTTCCTCAGCAGCTTCAGTGTGAATCATCAGCCAGTCCACAAACACCCTGATTCTATTTTCTTTTATCAGTTTTGATCATATCCGTCGTGTCTGAGAAATGGCAGCTGGAGAAGCTCAGCCAGACCTATTTCAGACAAACTGCACCAAATAAAACTGGAATAAATTGCAAGTCACAGAGAGCTGCTTCCCATCAGCATTAGATTAATATTGGTTTCCTCTTCAGCTTCAAGTTAATGTGGCTTCTTGATTCTTATCTGTCTCTGAAGGGCCGGCTGTAGATGGGATTGTGTCAAAAACCGAACAGTAAGCAGTGACAGTAATTTAGTTTCTGATTACTCTATAGTTACTTTAAACTCATTTTTATATTAAATATATTTACAAGTTTCCAGGACCCAAAAACCCTTGTGTGGCTGACCAATCGTATAGACGAAAGATTATTAGTATAATAATAGAAAAGCGAAGAAACAATTATCAGTCGTATTTATGTGATAAACGATCCATTTTTAATCTAATAGGGCCCTGACTTTTTCAGAGCTCCAGCTTTCGTGTAGAGATGTGTTTAGAGAAATATTTTGCAGACCTTTGCAATTAAGTCTGCCGAGCTTGAGAGCTTGGTCAGTTTATTGCCAACACTTAAGCTCAAGAACAAGAACTTGTAGCCTACTCATTGGTTTGTTTAGCACCCAGTACCTGAAAGTAGCTCTGCAAATAACTGCACTTTTTATATTTCTCCTCTCAGGTGGACAAGACGGGAGAAGATCAAGTTCTATATTGTGCATGCTCATAAACCCACCTCTTGTGGCTTTTCATTATTTTTGCTTTGGATTTTCTATTTCCACTGTTGTATTGGTTTTAATGAGATTTGGGAGTTTCGGGAGGCCACCTTAACACTAGGGGAAATCTTAGATTCCCATGATCCCAGGAACTTTTACTTCAAGATCTCTGTGGACTAGCAGCATAACAGAGCATCCTCGCTTTGGGAATAGAAACTAGAGGAACTCATGATGACCACTCGCTAGTGACTCAGTCAGTGTTGCAACCTATTTAGGCTTAAGTACATTAAGGGAGACATGTGGAGGTTTCTTTCTTAGCCAGCAGTCACCACAACATAAACCTACATAGAGTACTGTGCAGTTGTCTTAAATCACCACTAATTTCTTTATATTTTGTTAGGAAAGTGAGAAATAATTGCAGCAATTTATTGAAATGTGCAAACATACTTGGAAGAGACACAGTCTATAAAGTAAAAACAGAGTTGTAGCTAGCTCGACAGTCTGTATTTGGTATGATCACCTTTATTCTTCAGCAGCCTGAACTCTCTTTTCATGTAATTTCTTTAAGTAGTCTTTGGGTACAGTTGCAGTAGCTCTCTGGGCTTCTTCAAGGACGTTCAAAGCGCTTCATTGGATGTTTGCTGCCTATTGTTCTGTTCTGTTTTGTCAAGATGACAGTGTGTTTGGCATCACTGTCATGCTGAAAAATGAAGTTGCTGCCAATCAGATGCTTTCCAGATAGTACCTCATGGTGCATTAGTATCTCATGGTACTTTTCCTGTGTTCATAATTCATCCCATTTTGACACGCTCTCAAACAGCACTGCCTGAAGTGCAACCCCAAAGCATGACACAGCCTTTACCGTGTATCACAGATGGCTCCTGACCTTCTCTGTACATACTGACAACAATTTGAACCAAAGATTTCAAATCTGGCTTTGTTGCTCCATTTGACACGGTGCCACTGAGTCCTTTGCACATGTGTCAATACATAGATGTGCATGTTTCCCTTTTTATTTTTTATTTTTTTAAGCAAAATATAAAGAAATGAGAAGTGGTTCACAGCATTGTATTTGTGTGTGTGTGTGTGTGTGTGTGTGTGTGTGTGTGTGTGTGTGTGTGTATATATATATTATATATGGATGGTTGTTCAAAGATTTGTATGTGTTGTAGTTGAACAAGATAATAGATGATGTCTCCAAATCATGAAATGAAGGGTGGAGGGATTGAGCTCGGGGCAGCAGTCTTTTTGCCTAAATGTAACATCTGGAAGTCAGTTGAATCATTTCTCTGAAAAACAACACGAGCCTGTTTTACCATAATTGCACAGACTAAAGAAATAGAGTGGATTGTGTCCTGTATCTGCTCTGTGTCAGTATTGATCATAACTATCTTATAGTATTTGCATTTGTTAACACTTGCTTTGCGGGTTTAATTTAAGAACTTTTGGTGATTTCTAAAAGTGTTGGTGTTATCATTTATTTGGACTTTGTGATTAGTTCTTCAGTGTAAAATAAGCAAACCCATTCAGCTAGAAAACCTCCCCCATTATATAAGAATTCTTTTTCACATCGAAACAAAGCATATCAGGAGCAAATGGAGGACTTGTGAGCTTTACAGATTTTGTTGCTTATGTGTCTTTGTGTGTGTCACACTGCAAGTTTACTCAGCCATGTGCTCGTGTGTCATTTTGGCAGGAAATTGAGTTTTGCTCATATTTGTGTGAGGGTACAGGTTCTGCTCCAACACTGCCCATATGCACATAAAGCTACTTTATGAGCTCAACACCTGCCTACGACTCTGCTCTCCCAATAACTCGTTAGCTTGCTGCCTAAAGCCGCCCGACTTAATAATAAGGATGGCCACACGGCTTCCTCCCTCCCCTCACCTTGTCCCAGCACTCCCAGTTGGCCCAGCAGTGATTTGGTGACAGATGGTGATGATGTGACGCGTTTGTCAGCCTTCCTCGAGCTCTGAAACCTAAAGGGAAAAACACTGATGAGTTTATTACAGATTCCACACACCACAGGGACTGTTATAAATCAAATGTGATTGTTTATCATTTTGCAGCAGCGAGTTATTCGTTTAGGCCGGCATTATGAGCGCTGCACCTGTAACAGTTAATTTCGCCTTCAGATTTTTTTCCCTGACATTTTATCAGCTCTTTTTCTTCAGTCTTGTCATTTGATTGACTGTATCTGCCTCTGTTCCTATCTCTGTGTCTTTAATAGTAAGCCTCTCTTTTCCTTTCTTTCTCTATGTAATGGTGAGTTCGGCCATTATTGCTCTTTGCTCTCTTCCTATCAGTGATTTATCAGATGGCTTCCTGTCCTCCCCTAGATTTTTCCTTTCCTTTATCCCTCCTCGCTTCTCTAGACAGCCTTGTTAGCCATTGTTGGCTCAGGCAGCTCTTTATGTCTCTGAATGCTGGGGCTAATCACTGTCGCTACCTGTTTGGCATTGGAGTGACACATTAACTAATAGGACAGTTGTCAACAAAGCCCATTCGTGTCTTTAAAAGTCTTGTTTTTATTTCATTTACCCACCTTTTTTGTTGCATTTTGTTCTGTGTCTTTATCTTTTTTTTTCTTCTGTCCCGGACCTGAACTTTACTGTTGACCCTTTTTATTGAAACTACCGGCAGTGAGGAAAAAGAAGCCACTTTGGTGGCTGTTGAACTGAACGCTGATCCTAGGGGGGGTCAGAGGTTTTGTTTGTCGTCGTTCAAAGCTTTGAGCCTCTGTAAACTGCAGGGCAAACTGGCTGGTTTCTGCTTGTGACCAACAAATGAGACTTTTCTGTAAAATTATGGCTTTGAGGAATAAACTAACGTTGTTATTGCACTATATTATCAGAAAGGCACACAGACTGACACAAACACATTATTCATTAACAGATAAATGCTGCATAATTGCATTAATGAGCCATGAAATGAGTGTGACCGATCTGGCATTTCACCAGAGACTTGTCTGTCTTTGCAAATGAGGTGACAGTTGCA